AATAAACAAATATACATATATATATAAAGTAAGTAAATTTGTCCATGGATGAAAATGCTGACCTGCCTCTGAGTTTCCAGAAACAAGCAGAACTCCTTAACTCATGATCTCCTGGAATTACAACTATGTACACCCCCACCACTCCAGATTCCCACTCCTCCATCACTAATGAATGTCTAGCTGTGCATTCTCAAGCTTTCCTGTCATCAACTGACTCTCCTCACATTCATGATTTCTGTCAGAAGTTAACTGGTGAAGTTCAAGAGAATACTTTCCCCACTGAGACTCTCCCCTCTATCTGGTTTCCCTTCCTTTAATGTCCTCCCATACCATGGTATCAGAGAGCCTTATAGGAAAAGTAGGACACTCATTTCCAGCTCTGCAAAAAGGAATAAATAGGAAGTTAGAGGCTGCACTTTGTTAGCAAAAGAAAAAAAAAACAACCCACTTCTAAAGAGGAAAGAAAATATAAAAGGCCAAGTAAGGAATCAGGAAATCAAGCAGTGAACTGACTTTTGATGAACAGAATATTCTTTGTGTTGTATACTGCTTGGTAGAACTATTAAGCTCAGTTCATTATAACAAAGTTTATTATAAAAATCCATGCACTGCAGAAGTCCTCCTATAAAATGTGGCTAGACAGTGGTTTATAGATAATAAGATGATAAAATACAGATATTCTGTGACACTTCCAACTCAAAGAATGGCTCTCAACTGGCTAACAGCTTTGCTGAACTACGACAAGAGAGTGAATACTACTTGGAAAAGAAACAAGCAGTTTCAAACATAAATAAAATGCTCATTGTGGGAGTTAGTACTTATAAAGATTCATTCTCCAAAGACACATATGGTCTGAATGAATCCTGGACTATTTTTATATCACCAATGCTGTTACAGCATTTAAGTGATTCTAGACCTTGGCAAGCTGTTCAATGACACAGTTGGCTATTCAGTTCCTGCCAAATTCTGCAAGCATTCAGATATCTAAGCACGCAGTTTTATTTACAAGTAAAAATAATTCCTCACTTAAAGAACATAATTTTAAAAAGGTCATTAACTCTCCTTGTAACAACTCAGGAGACAACTTGCTTCATACCACAATACTGTGTGCAGGTGCACACAACATGCAATGGAAATTGTCCAGTACACACCTCCAGCTGTGATGGGCACACTCAAATACTCACTTTTTTATAGTTTGTTCTTGCTGCAGGTATTTATCTTGCACACATTTTTCAAACACAGCCAAAGCATGTTCCCCCTTCTGCACACCATTTGGGAGCTTTCGTGCCTTTGAAAAATCTGTGGATAAGAGTTCAGACTCTATTTCCTTTAGCAAATCCTCCTGTGAGGAAGTCTGATGTATTGTGGAAATAAGCTTCTTTGTGCAGTCTGTGTCATAAAGGCTTTCTGAATAGATTTTATCACACGATTTCTTCACAAAGTCAGACTCCTCACTTAGGTCCTCTAGTATGTCCATTAATGATCGTTCTGTCTGATTAGTTTTTGCATCATGTCGTTCAAGTTCTTCACTAGGGAAGTGTTCTATCTTTGTGGAGCTCTCTACCTTTGTTTCACAGCAGGTATTGGCACAGTCAGCCCCTCCACACTGCTGCTGTCCTTCTGTGTGGGCCTCATTGTTGCTTGAATCCTGATCCAAGGGCAACACACTTGATTCCCTTTCCAAGACAGTGGCATCATCTCCAGCAAGACTGATGCTTGAGCAGTCCTCCATTCCAGAGGTTTTATCAGACTTCTCATTTTCTGGGGACTTGGAAGAGTCATCATCTGACAGACTGACTGGCTCCAGCGTGCTCTGCATTTCTGGTAAATATTGCTCCATCATTTTCCTTCAGAAATCTAGAATTGACATTAAACAACATATTATATTCAAAATCCAAAGCGACTGAGATAGGGGAAATAAAGGCTACTAGAAAGTAAAATTCCATGGGCAAAATCATTTAGATACATGTGTTACACAATTTCTTGCTTTTTCGGCCCAACTTTTAAGTAAATGCTCTAACACAAGTTCATCTAAAAAAAGGTAAGAAATCAGGGATGGCAAACAGGAAGTAGTGAGATAGTAAATACCAAGACAAAAAAAAAAGCAGAGCTTTTCAGAATTAATAATTCTACCATTTAAATCCACAAAAAAACCAAGTAATCACCTCTGAAAAACACTCGAGACAAACTTTTTTAAAAAACTTAGTATC